GGAGAACATTGCTGAGATGTATGTCAGATGTTTTTCCTAAGTTTTCTTCTAAGAGGTTAGTAGTGTCTTGTCTACATGTTTAAATCTTTAAGCCATTTTGAATTTATTTTTGTGTATGCTGTGAGGGAGTAGTCTAACTTCGTTGATTTACATGCTGCTGTCCAGTTTTCCCTACACCATTTTCTGAAGAGTCTGTCTTTACTCTATTGTATGTTCTCACCTCCTTTGTCGAAGATTCAATGACCAAAAGGTTTTGGGACTATACTTGATAATTTTGTTTACCCATTCATTGATGGATGGACATTGTTTGTAACTTTTGGCTACTCTGAATGATACTGCTATGAATATTGATATGCAAATTTTTGTGAGAATATGTTTTCATTCTGTTGGTTGTACAGTTGGCCCGCCATATCTGTAGTTTCCACTTCATGGATCCAGATGGCTGATTGTAAAGTGACTCAAACATCCTTGGATTATGGAATCCAGGGTAGTGGGTTCTTGAAACCAATCCTCGGAGGATACTGAGGGATGACCCTATATGTAGGAGTAGCATTGCTGAGCCATATGATAACACTAAACTTTTGAGGAAACACCAGGCTTTTCCAAAGAAGCTTCCCCATTGCCTCTTTCCAATGGCTGCATATTGAGGGTTCCCATTCCTCTGCCTCCTGACCGACACTTGTTATTGTCCATGTTTTGATTATAACCATCCTAGTGGGTGTAAAATGAGATCTCATTTTGATTTTGATTTGGCTAGTGATGCTGAGCATCTTTTCATATACTTATTGGCCATTTGTGTGTCTGTTTAAATCCTTGGCAAATTTAAAAATTGGGTCAATTTTCTTTGTATTGGTCAGTTGTAAGCATTTGTTTTATATCCTGGATACTAGTCTCTTATTAGATACATGCTTTGCAAAATTTTTCTACTAGTCTGCAGATTGTTGTTTCACTTTACTTTTTTTAAACATTAAAACAATTTCTTTATAGAGGAGGTCATTAGATCTATTCATTTATTTAATATTATTTTTTTTCTTGCCAAGCACGCACTCTATCACTTTAGCTACTCCTTCCCCTTTCATTTCACTTTCTTGATGATGTCCTTTGTAACAAATGGTTTTAATTTTGATGAAGTCAAGTTTATCTGCTTTTTTTTTAATCACTTGTGCTCTTGGTATTGTATCTAGGAAACCATAACCTATCCTAGGACCTGAAAGATTTATATGATGTCTTCTTTTAGAAAGTTTATAGGTTTAGTTTTTACGTTTCTGTCTGTGATCCATTTTCAATTAATTTTTATTTGTTATATACAATATGGGAGTCCAGATTCTAGATTCATTCTTTTGCCTGCAGATACTCAGGTGTCCCTGCACTATTTGTTGAATAGACGATTCTTTCAATGGAGTGTTGAGGACAACCTTGTGGAAAACTGACTGTAATGTAAGTTTCCCACTGGAATTTTTACTGTGTCTCATAGATTTATGTAACCAAACTTATGACAGTACCATAATGACATAAGTAGTATAGATTTGTAGTAAACTTTAAAGTGAGTCCTCCAACTTTGCTCTTCTTCTTCAAGATTGTTTTGGCTGACCAGGGTCACTTGCACTTCCATATGAATTTTGGGATCAGTTTTTTCTATTTTTGCAAAGAAGTCAGCTGGAATTTTGATAGGGATTCCATTGAATTTGTAGATCACTTTGGGGAGTCTAAACATTTTTAACAATATTGTCTACCATTCCATGAACATGGGATGTCTTCCATATATGTAGATCTTCTAAAATTTTTTCGGTGATACTTCAATATATTCAATGTGCAAATCTTGTAAATTTTTGTTAAATGTATCTCTCATTTTATTTTTAATGCTGTTGTAAATGGAAAGGCTGAGCCTCTTAAGCGTGGGACTATATATCAATTTGTTTATTTCTAGGATTCCTACAAAGAAATTACACTAGGTTTATATTTGCTACATAAATCTATCCACAACTCTTCCCGCCCCCATGTTATAAGAAACCAAGACCCAGGTTAAAGTACCTCAACACCTATGTGGAAGTGAGAAATGAGACCCTTGGGTGGGGCTTTGTGCAGATGATACTGAGAGCTTATTTAAGATGGCTTCATCTTAATTTCTTTTAAACAATCCTTTCAGTGTACATAGTCAGATACATTAATAACAAGCCCTTCTGATGTGCAGAGGAGCTAAGACTATCATTTTCAAATAATTTCTAGTGAGAATGTTGTACTTGAAACCTAATTTGTATCTATCTTTGAAGATTTATGTTTCAGGAACTTTGACTAAAGAACACCTCTCTTTATTCAATAACTACAACTTAATGCTCTAACAACATGTAAGAGTTTGAGCAAACTGCCCCCGCCCAGTAGTGCTGGTTGTCTGCAGCTGTAACTGGAGTCAGCGCTTACCTCTACCAATACGCTTATGCTGATCTGCTCAAAGGGTTTCGTCCAGCAGTTTGTCAGTAGTCTGTTGGACAAAGCCATAAAACATTGATTTAAGGTTGCTGGAATGCAACATATTCTCATTAATACTAAGTAAGCACATATTGAGAGCTTACTGTATGTTGGGAGTTGTCCCTCAGACTCACATGAATTTTATTTCTCTGAAAACCTCACATATTTCCTTGTTATTCCCACTTTACAGATAAGGAGACTGAGGATTAAGTCTACTCTCTTTTGGGGGGAGCTCATTATCAATGACTGGAAGTTGTAAGGAAAAAGATATTGATTCATCCTGAGAAAACATTTTTCTGAGTCAGCATTGAAGAAGGTGACCACTGAGGAGGGTGATCATTGTTCGAGTGAGAAGAGCCCCGGATTGTACGGAGTCAGCATCCCTTTCCTGGACACGGCACGTGTAGTGCTGCCTGGTGGGTGAGACGGCGCGGCCGCGCAGGGAACAAGGATGCCGGACCGTTGGGCTGTGCTTAGGCCCGGTGGGGCTTTTTCTTAAGGGCAGTGGACCGTCACTGACAGATTTTAAGTAGGGGAGTGGGGTGCTCTCCTAGATCACTTTTGTGTTTGTAGAATGCTTGCAAACATTCAGTAGGCTCGGCAGGAGGTGATGTGATGAATCAGAGTAGGGTGGCTGTGAGGTGTAACAGTGTTCAATTTTCAAGTGGTTTTCAGTCCCAGTTTTGTGGCTCAGTAGCCGTGTCACTTTGGATGACGCACTCAAGGAAGTGAAACAATTTATCTAATCAATTGAAGCAGGGATGTACTCAATTCCCAGGACTGTTGTGGAGATCCAGTGAGATAACATGCGCACAGTGTGCAGCGTGGTCCCCAGCCCAGAGTCAGTACTAAGTGAGTGCCTGTGAATACCTGTTAGGACAGGTGTGGGTGGTGGGGCTTGGTGACTGAGGAAATCTGGGCCCTGAAGGAGGGGTCCAGTCACATCTGTGAGTGATGGGCCTGAGCTGGGAGAGGCAGAGAGACCTTCCCCCCCGACCAGGATCCCAGGCCAGGACAGCTATGGGAAGAGAACCGTGAAGTCAGCTCTGTTCAGGTAGAGTTGGAGGTGCCCTTGAGACATCTAAGTGCAGTGTCCCAAGCTCACAGAGGAGGTCTGGGCCCTGGCTGTGCATTTTCCTATAATCTAAATCCCTGAGGACGCCGAGGTATTGATCACTGAGCTTGAAGACATACTTTACAGGACAAGAGAATAGTAGTATCATCTCTGTCATCAAAGCTCATGTCTCTTTATTCATCACTCACTTTGCTAATTGGGTACTTATAGAGCTCACTTCACCGCCCTCCCCTAGGCTCAGGCTCCACAGTAAAGAGCTGGTGAGATTCCCTCTTTTCCAGAAGAAGACACTTTTAGCTGGTAGCCTTCTATACTTCGCCAGACTTAGAATTTTAATTTGTTGTTTTAATTCTATTTTCTGTTGGCCATCTCCTGACAGGAGAGATGTTTTTCCTCATGGTCATGTTTCAATTGTCTGTTACTGAGAATTGCTGATCTGATCCATAGTGTATGTATTCTATTAACTTTGTAGAGTACTTATCATTTTTCTGTCTTTGCCCTTTAATTTTGTTTGCCATTCAAGGTTCTATCCTATTTGGGGCCTTATTTTTTTTAATTAAAAAATGTCTGTTAGTATTTAAGAAAACAAAAGCAAAGAAAAATTGCACATGATACCTAAGTTTAGAAAATATCTATTGTGTTTTCTGTCTCGGCAATGGAGGGTTCTAGAAACTCGTGAAAATCTTCATTACACAAGTTCCTTATAATGCTGATTAAGAAATAAAACCTTCCTTCCTCATCTTTCAAGCTGTACAGCTAATTTTCTAGAAAGTGAGGGGAAATCCTCAGAAGCCAAGTCCAACCAAAAAGCAGGGATTCTGGGAGATAAGCGAGACTTAGAAGCCCTTGGGTGCCAGTTGGCTCCTGAACTGAGTGTTAGTTGCCCTGACAGGAGGGCAGGAGGTGAGCCCCAGGCCTCTCACACTGGGAGTTGGATGGCTCATCCTATGTAAGGCCAAGCACATCCTGAGAAGCCTGTTTAATAAAGGGTGAATTAGAAAGAAAGAAAAAAATTATTCCTCAAGGCAAGAAATTAAGGAAAGTCAATTTTTTTGGAAAGGGGGAAAATAACAAATCCAAAGTAAGGATTTAGTTTAAAGCTGTTCTGGCATGAGAGTGACCACAAACTCCCGGGAGAAAATCACAGCTCCTCCCGGAATGAGAAGTTGTGTTTTGAATGAATCAGTGGACAGCCATTCCGAAAAAGGCCTCCTGAGTCTTCTGGATCAAGATACTAGACCAAAACCGCTCTCTTCCAAGGTCTCATTTAAATAACCAGAAACGTTTTAAAGGAAAGAAGCCATAATCATAGTTCTATTTATTGACTTTAGTATATGCTAGGAATTCAGAGGTGATTATGAAGTTGTCTCCTCTTTTATGGACCTTACTTACTGTTTGACATAGTTGGGGAGCTGGGTGGAGGGAGGTTTTAGTCTGTTGCAATTAGCCAGGAAAGGAAATTAAGAAAGCAGTGAAGGGTGGGTGACATTTTTAGCTGAGGACAGTCCTGTTCAGTTGGCTTTTAATTGCAGGCTCGATGAGTTTTCACTGGAGGGAACTGATCTTACAGAGGATGGAGTTAACTCAGGCCTCTTCAGAATGGACAAGTGAACCTGAAGAAAGGCAGTCAAATCTGTGCAGACTTTAAAGTTCACGTGAATGTGCTGTATCCCTGAGCCAAAGATAGGACAAGTAGGCAGCACTTCTTGAGGACAGAGGAGTGGTTTTTAAGGTTCTTCAAGAATGAATCCCAGGGAACTGAGATGGCCAATTGTCAAACTATGACTTTGCTATTTGGGCGGTGTGCCCACCAAAGGTATTGTTCGTTTATAGGTTTTCATTTCCTTAAATGCATGTCAGGTGATGAGGACGTGGGCACAAGCATTTGACACCTTGTCGAGGTGACTTTCGGTACCTGCCTAGAAGCATGGGCACAGCTGTGGCTGCGTCATACATCTTGCCGCTCACCCTGTTCCCTGGCTCCGTGATCACGGCAGAGTGGTTCTTTAATGACGTGTCCGTCTCCTTTGTGACATTGCAACCCACCAAAGACCGGAGCGTATTAGCTTGGCTTTGTTCTTTTCCATTATTCTCTTCGAATGGACTGATAGTGGACCCAGATAAGTTGGCAGATGTTTTACAAGTAGGGCTGTCACTACAAACCTTGTAATCCCCGCTGTGTGATCTACAGAAGAAAGTTACATTCTTTCCAAATTGTTTTGATGCACTTATGAGGGAAAATGGTGTACGTTTGAATATGTATTTCCTCTCTGAATCATCATGGCTAGAGATGAATGTGGGTAGACATGGAATGTGTTTTCTGTATGTGAACTGTATGATCCCCTAAATTCTCCCCAGGTTTTCAAAGTCATCACTGGAGTGCTACCTCCAGAGTGTCCCAAAGCATCCACCACTGCCTGTTCTTCAGACACTGTGAGTTTCCAACTTGGAGAAGGCTGCTGGCTGTTGAGCCATTCTCTGGCACATCTCTGGCTGGCTAATGTGGGCTTAGCACCCAAGACATGGCAGACAGTAACTAACCACGATCACGTCCATTTCTGGGATACTCATGAAGGATTTTAGACATATGCTAGTGGCATACGTTATTTCAATTAGTTACCCCAACAATAATAATTAGATTTTATCACCTGTATTAATAAGTAAACTGTCAAAGTGAGTGATGTGCAGACTTTGGCCTGGAACACGGGTCTTTCTGACCCCTGTCTCTGTTCCCTCCCCGGCCTATCCTTGCAAGTGACCAGGAGACTCTTCCTCTGTCTTGAGTTTGCTGCTGATGTTACCACTCTCTTTGTTTCTAGGAGAGGAAAGCAAGTCTAAACTTACTTTCCAGTTGGAAATGGAATGGAGTGTTAACGTTGGAAGCCGGGAGAGTCTGTCCTGTGATGAAGTGATCTCCGAGCCACTTCCACTGGGACGTCACATCACTGTCTGTTCCCCTTGCTCAGCCTGTGCACAGGTGACAGCGCAGATGTGCCGAGCAGTCGTCCCAGACAGGGCAGTGGGTTGGAAATGAGTTTGGGGATTTTGTTTCATTTCATAGGTTTCTGAGGGCCTTGACTTGGCACTTCGTGTGGGACCATTCCCTGTCCCACAGACTCATGCTCTGGGCCCGTGCAGACCTGACGTGTCCTCAGCCTGAGGCTCAGGGCCCGAGGTGAAGTGGAGCATTTTAGTCCAGGGTCTCTGGAGGCTCTGACACTTTTGGGTCGTGGGATATTTTCCAGAATGATAATAATTCCTCCCCGAGTTTCAGATTTCCTTGCCTGTGAGCCGGGGTAGTAATAATTTCTGAGATGATTGTAATGATTCAGTAAGGGGCTCAGCGTGTGCTGGCAGGTAGCTGGTGCTTGGAGCAGAAGTCACAGTCACTCTGTCAGCCTCTCACTGTGTGCTCTGTGCTTTGAGAAGTTGTGTGTTTGGTGAAAGTCCCGCCCAAATCCTAGGGTCTAGATGAAACGTTTTTCCTTTACTTTCCCTTTCTTTTGCTCCTTCCCTTCTCTGCGTCTCATGTGTAGGGAGCAGATTCCTCTGTTTCAGGGAATACAGGCCTTTCTAAGTAGAGGACTGGCTGAACGTGGAGAGGTGGGGCCCGAAGGGGGTCTGGAGCGTCTGCACAGCGCTGCTTCCATGCGTTTCTGCATCCAGTCCCGTCAGTGCACGAAGTATACTTCCTCTTCCTTCCTGTGTCATCAGGTCTCTGTTTTATGGGAAAATCTTTCTTACGTGTCTTTTTTCACTTACATGTTTCGTTCAGATGCTTGTTGCTTTTCTCCCTGTGCTTCAGCGTTCCGGGGAGAGAATTCAGCGGTGTAGCATCCTCTCCGAGCTCTATGAGTTAATCGGCTTCCACTGCAAGTCCGCCTTCTTCAAGCGGGTGGCCCCCGTGCAGCTCGTGGCCCCCGGCCTCCCGGAGCCTGGCGGGAAGGCCTGCTACCGACTCCTTCTGCAGACGCTTCCTGCCTACAGTCTGTTGCTGGGTCCGCAGGACTTCAACAAAGATTTTGGGACTAAAACATTGCTTCAGTCCGATTAACCATGCCTTGATTGGGCCCTGCTTTCCTGTCTCATCAGGGTGAATTCTGATTCATGTGGAACAGGACAGAGCAGAGTATTTGTCACGGGCTTGGGAGTAAATATTTCAGGGTCTGCAAACCTCCTGATCTCTGGTGCAGCTGCTCAGCTCTGCTGTTCAGACGCCAGAGCAGCCGGAGACTCCACACACCCACCGAGCTTTATTAACAGTGGTGGCTGGGGCTGGATTGGGTGTTTGAACTGCAGTTTGTCCCCACAGCCTCCTCACTATTGACGCCTGCACCTGAGCGTACATTTGCGACAATGGGTGAACCTACACTGACACTTCATCATCACCCATAGCCCCTAGTTGACACTAGGATTTACACTTGGTGGTGTGCACTCTGTGGGTTTGGACAGATGTACAATTACGTGGAACCACCGTCACAGCATCATACAGAGTAGTCTGTCTTAGTTACCCTAAAAATGCCCCATGCAGCACCTCATTCATTACTCCTTCCCCTCTAGCCTCTGACATCCACTGATCTTTTAGTCTCTGTGGTTTTGCCTTTCCCAGAACACCATACAGTTGGAATCAG